CACCAGTTAGGTATCCTACAGTTTAATTCAATTCTGACACTACCCAGAGTTAGTGCAGACTTCTCTGGTTAAGGGCTCATTCCCATAAGACTGCCCTCCCCCACTTCAGACAGCAATCACAAGTAATGGATCTCCACGTTACCCACACTTCTGTCTGACTTAGCTCCCAGTTGGGAGTTCCCACAACCCCCTCCTCAGGTTCAATAATTTGCTATTGGGGCCCACTGAACTCAGGGAAACTCTACTTCCTATTACTGGTTCATAAAGAATATAAATTAAAAGTCAGATGAAGAGGTACATTATGGCAAGGTCCAGAAGGGTCCCAAATGCTGAAGCTGCCATCCATGTGGATTTGGTGTACACCACCTTCCCAGAATATGAATGAGTTCACCAACCTGGAACCTCTCAGACATTTGGGGTTTTTATAGAGGTTTCATTACATAGGCGTGATTGATGAAATCATTGACCATTGGTGATTAGCTCAATCTTCAGCCCCTATCCTCTCCTTGGAGGTCAAGGGGTGAGGCTGAGTTCCAACCCTCTAATCATGCCTTGATCTTTCTGGTGACCATCCATATCTTGAAGCTATCTAGTAGCCCTCACCCACCAGTCATCTCGGAGCATAAAAAAAGACACCTATCACTCCAGAGATTCCAAGGGTCTTATTGTCAAGAGCTTGAGACTAAAGCCACATGTAACAAAAGATGCTTCTGTTATCCCTATCAGGAAATAGCAAGGGTTCTAGGAGCTCTATGCCAGGAATATGGGACAAAGATTTATGGTTACCAAAGGCTGGAAAGGGTATTGGGGATGGGGTATAAAAAGGAGTTGGTTAATGGGTACAAAAACACAGTTAGAAGGAATATGATCTAGTATTCAGTAGCTCAATAGGGTACCTATAGTTAACAATAATTATTATGTATTTCAGTGTAATTAGAAGAATAGATTTGGAGTGTTCTCAGTGCAACAAAATGATAAATATTTGAGGTGATGTGTATCTCAATTACATTACACATTGTATGTTTATATCAAAATATAATTTATACCCAATAAATATGTGCAAATATTACATATCCATATAAATTAAAAATTTTTTTTTAATTTAAAAAATAACTCATTTCAAATTTCAATCAAAATAAAAAAGATCAAATGCTTATTTCTTCATATATCACAATACATACAAAGTCAGTGTAAGAAAGTGTTGCTAGGAAGAAATTACTTTTTCTAATCCCACTCCTATTCTTATGTTTATACCAAGTTTATAGAGTTGAAACTATGTTGTTCTACTACTTTAGGCCCTCCTGTTTAGACTTAAAATCTAGGATAGATACAAGGCATGTGGGGCAAAATCATAGGTAGGGATTAGTCCCCTACATCCTCGTCTCCTACCCTCTCCTATTATTTTCTTCTCTTTACTCTCCAGAATTCTGATAATATAAATACTGGGGCCAGCATTCAGCTTATGGTTTTCTACTCAAGCTGTCTTGTCTCTTGTCTCTGTGTTTTTTCGAGTATGTCAACAGAGAAGACTTCAAGTATGGTATAGTATAATAGAGAATATAGCTGATCTTTAGCCCTAGTTTCTGACACAGAGCTTCAAAAAACCTTGGGATTTCCTGTGTGACAGGAGTATCTTTGTTATGCTAACGAAGTGACTTATGGTGGGCCCCTAGATAGCTTCAGGATGGGGACTGGTCACCAGAAGGACCAACCATATGATTAAAGGGTTGGAACTTTGGGCCAGCTCAACCTTCAGGGAAGGTAGTGGGGCTAGGTATTAAGTTCAGTCACATAACCAATGGTTTAATCAATCTTGCCTGTGTAATAAAACCTCAGTGAAAACTTTGAACTTCAGGGCTAAGTGGAGCTTCTTGGTTAGTGAACATATTGTTCTCTAGGTAGGGTGATATTTCCTGACTCCACAAGGAGAGGGTATGGAAGCTTTGTGTCCAGGATCCTTTCAGACCTTGTCCTGTGTGTATCCTTAAATGAAACTGTAATAATAATAATAGCACTTTTTGTGAGTTCTGTGAGTTGTTTCAGTTAATTATGAAACCTCATAATGTCATGGGAACTCCTGAATTTATAAGTGGTCAGTCAGAAGGATGGGTGGCTTCCTGAGAATTGGGGCTGGTATCTGATCTAAAGCGGGGGCAGCATTGTTGGGGATTGTGCCCTTAAACCTGTAGAGTCCAATGCTAACTCCAAGTAGGTGGTTTCAAATATTTGATGTCAGAACAACAGTGTAATTTTCCCTAGTTTTGGCAGCCACACCTAGATTAATATATGTAAAGCTTACCTTTGCTGTATATTCTGCATCAACAAGTTAAAATAAAGGAGGCAGACCCAACAGTGTATTATGGGTGAAAAAAGCAGTCTGTTTTTGTGACATGTACCTGTAATTTAGATAATTTTTAAAATTATCTATGTATCTATTTGTCTATATCTATCTATGTGTCTGTCTGTCTAATCTATCTATACATCTATCCTGTCATCTTTTTTTTTCTTATCACAGCTCCCTTAGCCTAGAATTCCTGTTGTGGGTATTGCATTTATATTTGGAAAACTTCAAATTGTGACCTGATTAAATACTTCTGTGCCCCAAATGTACTCCAAAGCAGATACTTAAACAGTTTATGCCTGTAGAATTTTTCAATCTCAGCCAAAGAGCAGGGTGACTGGGGGATGGGTGGGTGTGTGTGTGGATGTGTGTGTGTGTGTGTGTGTGTGTGTATCCAAGCAAGATGATGATTGCCTTTGTTCTGACTTGTAGAGGGTAGAATCCTTCCTCAATTCTTTTTCTGGGGTGTAATTGAAATAAAAAATTCATCATTCACTCAGGCCTCTTGTTCCTTCTCCCTTTTTTGATAAATATTATGGGCTACTTTATGTAATAGAGGCTACTTCAGATGTCACCTGGCCTAAAATGTTATGTGGGGATAATATCAGAGTGAATTTTTCTTCTGTCTAGTCTGGACTTTTAGCAGCCACTAATTATCAACTCTGCCCCCCAATTTCAAAAGAGCAACCTTCAATGGGATGTAATCTATAAACTACCACCAGATTTTCTATCAAGGCTTTCAAGACCTTGCACCCTTTAATACAAGTCTGCCTTTCTATCTCCATCTCTCATAACATTCTTCCAAGTCAAGGCCAGGACTAGAATGAAATAAAGAAAGAAGCTCTCACTCTCAAGTGCCTCACACTACTCCAGGCCTTGCCCCACTTTGCCTGCAGTCAAGCCACACTGGAAAATCTGTTGTTTTCCCAACTGTACTATGTGCTTTACTACTTGTATGCCTTTCCACATGCTGTCCCTTCAATCTTCAATGTTCTTACCCTTTTTCTCTCTACGGCAAACATCCTTTTGGGCTCAGTTCAAATGCCAGGGCCTTTTTGAAGTCTGATACCTCCTCACCCTTATTCCTTGCACCTTGGTAGGAAGTAATTCCTCCATCATTTGTACTTACGCAATATTTGCCACTTGTTTCTTTTCTTTTCCTTTTTTTTTTTGGTTTTTTTTTTTTTTTT